AATTCAAATCTCCAATCTCTTAAAAGGAAATTTACAGCCCTCTGTCCCCACAATCATTACTCATCCAGCTTACATCAAAATCCACACCAGGCAATGGGAGGTTTTAACAACCAAATTTCAAACCTACTTCCTGATCACCCTTTAAAATGAACTGTTTTGCTTCACTCAAAGAAAACAAGGACTCTATTCTGTGTGGCTTATGGGGGGGGGGGGAAGTGGTAGACATATTGCTGTGTCACACAATATTAGTGCAGCAAGTGTAGTTTCTGAAAAGACCACAGGGAGAAACATTTTTAGTAAATAGAAGATGCAAGATTTTGTTAAAAACAAGCTAGAGAGGTTTCCCACAACATTACTTAAAGCAATAATAGCAAGTCATACTTATATGTCTCCTACTGTTGAAATAGGGGGAAAATCCAAGTGAAGCATTGGCTTCCACCAACTTTCAAAGATCTGCCCAGTTTGTTACAGGCTAGGAAGTTTACCCACGCATCATCAAAAAGAAGGCCATAACTGTTCTATGAGTAACAGAGTAGACACCTAACCCAAGTCTCAAGAACAACTTCCTTGGTTAACAAGTTTAGAATTGTGCAAGTTAGACCATGGATTGCCTTTGCAGCTCAATATCCCAAAACATGCCTGCAGATGACTTGGCCATGCCTAACACTTAGCGAACAAGAGGTAGCATGAAGCCTGAAGCACGCCTGCAGAAGACAGGTAACAACAAAAGTGAGAGCTGTGATAGGAAAACAAATACGCCCAGCTAGATGGATGAAAGGGAGGAAAAAGCACCACGCCTCAGGAGCTCTAGAGGAAAACACAACCTCTGTTCACGCTGTAGAAACTAGCTTTAATTTGAATCAGATTTCTGATTCAGAAATGTTTTGCCAACCCTAAATCAATTTTGGTGTCTTTTTTGCATATATTGTCCATCATAATGCTTAGGTAAGAAATGATTTATCTGACAAATAAATAAAAAATAAACAGCTAGTGCTTTTAGAAACAGACCTACTAAGGAACCTGGTGAGACAAAGAGCTTACTATAAGATTAAGTCGTGCCTAATTCAAAATGCTTCCTACAAAAGATAGGCTGGTGTTTCTGAATGAGTTGGAAAGAAAAAGCACATGGCCATGCTGGAACATAAAGAGAGGCAGACAAGTGCATTTTACTTTTAAATACTCTCCACGTTCTTTCCAGATCAAAGGTTCCATTTTTATAGTGATTTATCTGGAAGTAAGCTTCACTGACCTCAGTCAGACCTGGTTCCAAATATAGACAGTGATTGTGCTATAAGTTATATGTGGGGCTGCATTCTACCAAATTTCTTAGAACAAACCATTTTCAATCCTTGCTCCCTTTTGCAAAAGTGCAAGTCACTGTTTGGTAATGAGGCAGAAACAATTTGTTTTATGACACCTGAGACAGCTTTCCTAACAAGGCATCATCCTCAACAGATTTCCCTCAATTTAAAGAGAAAAAGAAAAAGTCGGAAGTTTTAATAAAAATGTGGCAATCCCTGACCATGATCAAACACCACTCTTTAAAAAACGTACCCCCTTTTTATGGCATGGTTGACATGGCTTTTATCTTATTCCCAGTAAAATTCAACCACAAGGCTTATACAGCCCTGAATAGAGAACATTTTTGTACTTAGTCACATCTTTTTAAATACATGCATTTGGTTTCAATCCCTTCCCACCCACCCACCCCACCCCAAAAAAACAAAGAAAAAAAGTCGGGAGGGGGCAATAAGCTGAGAAAAATGAGTGAGCTGAAGATTTTTTTTACCACACAGGCAGACAGGAGGCAGTACAACAGCATTTGGCAAATTCGGCTAGTAACTACTAGAGAAGAAGAGGTGGTGGTTTGGGCATCCCTCCCATTGATTCCTCCACAGCCTCCAATTTAGTAATCTGAGCCAATAAGAAAACACAATCTTGTGTCTGAGACCTCAGAGTTGCATCTCTTCCAAAGAACCAGTGGGAGGGGGGAGACCCTCTTCAAGGAGAGGCAGATTCTCTTCAGGATTTCAAAGTAACCAGGACATAGTCTTTGAAACCACTCTCAACATACAACTGTTCAGCATCTTCAACAAGGATGTTAGATGGAACCCACATGTTTGGCCAAAGTTGTTGCTGTTTTGTTTATTTTAAAATACTGTTCAGCTTTGGCCCTGAGCAAAGATAGCATATTCTGAAATAGATTAATCAACATCCTCAACTGCAAAGAAGCTTCATCAAGAACAAGTGATATGCATAAGGTACAGATGGATTCACCACTTATTTAAGGACTGGATTATTTACAGCCAATATTACTCTTGGGCCTGCTCCAAAAGTTAAAGTTCAAACCTTCCCCAATGTAAATCCTTGTGTTTTAGAATAGGTATCCATCCCACTTAACCTCAAAGAACCCATGATTCCAGGAGAGAGAGATTTTTGCCTGGCCAGCAGCAATGGTGGCTTGCAAGGGGAGATCAGAAGATTGCAAGGCGGGTCTCTGGCTTTCATTCTGCTTTATAAGCATTCAAGATTCTTTGAGAAGATGGCACTGCATCAGCTCCAATGAGTACCAGGGAGAATACAGAGAAGCCTTTAGGGAGGACTCCCCAAGCATGCCCTTTTCTGGCAAGCTACATTTCACCCAGGGACCAGGAGAGGCATTGCCCCTCCCTTTTTTCCGGGCACAAGAACTAATTGGGAAGAAAAATAAAATCGGTAACATGAACTTGTGACCTTTGTAATTCTCAGGAAACTCCCGTATAGCATACTTTCAAAGAATGTAGAGCTAATGCACAGAGAATACATTTATACTTCAGGTGGTACAAGCTACCTGAACCTCCTACTTCTCTTAAACTAAATCGGACCAAGCAGTAGAGGTCTCTAGCTTAGGAAGGTTTGTGCATGCTTGCCAAATCCTTGTTCTTTGGCTGGACAGAAAAGAGAAAGGGAAGCCAAGAACTCCACCAAGAATACTGAACGCAGCCAGCACTTTACACACACACACACACACACACACACACACACACAAAATGTGGCAGGATGCCTTAAGCGCTTCACTCACCGGCCAGGCAAAACTGAAAGGGAGGACAATCCGGTTCCTTTCCTTATTCCGGCTGTATCTTAAATTAAAGGTATTCCCACCGATGACGGGGGTAGAGCCAAATCCAAAACTGCAAGCGCCCTCAGCAGAAACGCGGGACTGATACTCCTTCAGGCAAACTTTGAAATAGGTATCACATTCATCTCTGGTGCATTTTTTATCAATTGGGTTTCGGGTCCCATCACAACAATTTCCATTTTGCAATTCGCCGTTTATATTTTGCATGGATATGATCTCAAACTCGAACTGGCCTGATGTTAGAGTCACCTGTTAAGAAAGACCCTCCCCACAAAAGGGAGAGGAACAGAGTTTTAGCACACAGGTTGTAAAAAGAAACAGATTTCTTCTATTCTTCCGCTAAAGTACCAAGTAAGCTATGAAAACTAAAGTCACAAATGTATTTCTTCCTTCTCAACACCCCCCCCCCAGCAAGAAAGGAAAGAAGCAAGAAAGGAAATTCTAAAAAATCAGAGTTGGAAAGGGGTGTCATGCTGTGGTCTCTGGAAGGAACATTAAAAAAACCATCTCTTTGAGTCAGTAATAGCAACCCGTACACAGAGCAAATCCAGTTCTAATCTAGCCACTACAGCCGTACGATTGTAAGTCACTTTGCAATCAGCTCTTAAAAAAAAAAAAAAAAAAAGCAGAACTCCTGTAGGAAAAAGTGAAATGGAGCAATCTTTGGAAAGTTTGGTGTAATTAGATAAATCTGCGAAGAGGGCGGGGCAGTTTCTTTAGAAATTATCTCCGGCTGTTCGAACTGGGTAGATATGTTGAATTAAAGCGTTTTTACATGAAAATGGGGGGGGGACCTGGAGTTTGTAAAGCACGAGGTCCATCGGAGTCTTAAAGAACCTTTTCTCCCCCCTCCCGTTTGCTCCATTTTCATTGTGCAAAATTAAGTACGCTAATTATATTGCAGAAGAAAGAACTGAGATGCGTTTGTAAGTTATTTTTTTTTTTTTTTTTAAAAAGCAAACTCTAATCTATAGCGGGAAGAGAGATGTGCAACGTACCTTTACTCGCAAGCATAACAGCGCAAGAAAAAGACTTAGGGAAAACTCCGTGAGCTGCGGTCTCTTTGATAAAAGCATGCCTCTTTCCTGCAGAGTCCCCTTCGCTCAGAGACGCTCCCAAGGTGCCGCTGCTGTGGCAGCCGCTGTCCGGCTCTAATATACTCCCCGAATCGAAGTACGCACGGGTGGAAGACAACACCACTTTTCAAAAGCTTTTCAATAGCGCCCCAATCTTCAATGCAAAGCAGCCCAGCCTCCTTTTATTCTCCTTGGCCTCCCTCTTCCCCCCTTTGCTTTCTTGTTTTTTTTTTTTTAAATATATATATATAACTAGCGATGGTTATTCTGGTCCCTTTCTGCCCCCCTTCTCCGCCTCTCTTTCTTTGCAGATCACTTGCCACCTCTCGATCAAGGCCACACAATAACCCGGGCGAGCCCCCCTCCCCACCCCCCGCGACACGCACATAGACGACACCCAAAGACGACAACAACAGCAGCAAAAAAATAATAAGTACACGCGCGTAAGAAAAGAGGGGGGGAGGTGAGCGGGGAAAAAAAAAAAAGCCGGAGAAGGAGGGAACCGATCGCCCGTCCTGCAAGCCCCACTGAACAGAATGCCTCCTCGCGCTAGCCCATGGCCACAAGAGGAGGGGAAAGGACAGGCGGCGCATGCGTTGCCATTAATATGCATTAAGGAGGAGGGTGGAAAGGAAGCGGCAGCGCCGCCTCGGGTCCCTGGGGAGGTTTGCCTTTTCCTTGGAAGGGTGACAAGAGGAGGAGCGACGGCCACGGGGGGGGGAGGGAGGGGGGAGAGGGCAAGATGCGCGAAAGGCAGGAAAGGCGGAGGTTTGTAATAGGTGAGTAAAGGCGAGCAAGTGGGGAAGGCGAGCTGGACCGCATTATTTACGTTCGCACTCAGATTCATCCCGATCCTTGCGCCAAGCGGCCGCTTGCTTGTAAAAAAAAAAAATCATCATCATTATCATAAACCCATCAAATGTGTGCGCCGTCTGATGTTCTCAGGAAAGAACGGCTAAAAGCACTAGAAGGTGTGAAAGGGAAAGGGGCTTCCTTTCACCAGCGCCGTCCCCTTTGCCGAGAGGCTTTGCATAGGGTCTTACTGCGACCTTTCAAGCCATTTGGGGGGGGGATATATGTGGGAACATTCACACGCGCGCGCAATCTACCCACTCACGCATCTGACAAAGTGCGTTCCTAGTGCACAGAAACTTACACGTCCTTTTTCAAAAGAATGGCAAGACGGGTTTTTTTTTTCTTCCTGTAAGGAAAGGGAGAGAGGGAGAGAGAGAAAAAAGCGCCCTTTCCTAATCTTTCCGAGAAGCGGAGCCCGTTCTCACAGCCTGGGAAGACCAAATGAATGCTGGTGAGCAGGGTTTTTTGTTTTGTTTTTTGTTGGTTAGAAAAAAAATCGTAGTTACCACGGCTCCGATCGCAAAGTTCACGAGAGGTGCAAAGAATAACTTAGTGCACATGCTAGCTGCGTTGGGGCGGCGGGGGGCGGGGGGGCGGGGAGAGCTATGAAAGAACAGCTTTTTAATTCTCAAGTACGACCCATAGCTTTTCTAACCTGATTAAGCTACTTTAGCAACTGCTTTTTTGGCTGGCTGGCTGGCAGGCAGGCAGAAGACTGAATCCCTGAATGTGTGGGCTGTGGAAATTGGAGGGAGACTGTATTTACTCGGCAGTAAGAAGTAGCGTTTTGGGTGCAATTTACTGCTAAAGAAATCTGTAGGGTTGCAGTCTTCATGCTGGGCAACTTCAAATTGTTAATGAGCCACGTATAGTGGAAAGTGCCTCTGTCATAGCAAAGTTGCCAGAATTATGCTTCAGGACAGAAAGAATATTGTAACGTGCTCCCTCTCCCCCAAAGCAGATCTGGCTCCATGTTTTATCCTGAAGAAAGTAATACACAACCCTCCCTGAAGAAGAAGCCTCTGTGAGATCATTTATATCTCAATCATTTAATCTGATTATAGTTCCTGGCAGGTAGAAAGGTAGCTTATAAGGGAAAGCAACTAGGATTTTTCTGACACCCTGATTTTCTAGGTGGGAAAATTACATTCTTATTTAACTTTTTCTTCTCTAGGGAGGGGAAGGAGAAATGTTACATCAAGCTGCCTTTCCCTAGCTGTCTGAAATACCAGTAGTATAGCTCAAATGGAAGTTAACTTGTCCTGACTTTGCCACTGGAAAGGAAGAGTTCCTTGCTTCCTGTTCTTCTCTTTTAATTTGGCAAGTCTGCTGGATTTCCAGGGCTGCTGCTACTTCTTGACTTTGGTTGTGGATTTGGGATCTGCCCGCTTGCTGTTGTTTTTGAATGACCAGTACTATACAGGGCTTTGAACAATGAGTTGCATAAAGAATGTGAGCTGACATGAACAAATTCACACATCCATTTAAGAAATCCTGTTTCCAAGAGTGGCTTAATTTGGGAGACCGGTGGATGAAGGTTAGAAAATATGCTTAGCAGAAGTGTGTTTCTATGTGTGAAAGATGGCAGTCAGGTTTTAGCCTTTTTTTTTTTTTAGCATACCTCCTGTACTCTTAAAGAAAAAGCATATCTATGAATGTACTAAAGCACTTTTCCCTAAGTCCAAATGATCCCAGCCATCTCAGGAACTTGTAGGGATCAGTAAAAGTTTCAACATTACACTTTCTGGGCTGCAAAAATCTAGATACCCATGAGAGGCAGCCAGGTAAATTTTTTAATTTATTTATTTGTCAAACAAAAATTATAAATTTGAACAAACAGAATGAAAAAAAAACACCCTAAAATGTGACAGGAACGAATGCTAGGCATGTTAGTGCACTTACACACGCCCTCCCCTTAAGAACTTCTTAAATATGGGATGAGGTCCACAGAAGTTGAAATTAAAACTGTTAGTTAGCTATGACAACTGAATCGGGTAAGATATGCCAGACTTTGACAACTGTTACAAAAATCATTTTTTTTACAATCAAGTTTAAAGCAGTTTACATTAAGTTTAAAGTGGTTGTTCATACATGTTCCATTATGATTAAAACAAAAAAAATGATTTTGTCAATTTTAGATTTGTCTATAGCAGTGGTGGCGAACCTATGGCACGGATGCCAGAGGCGGCACTCAGAGCCCTCTCTGTGGGCACACGTGCCGTCGCCCCAGTCCTAGGCCTTCAGCTGGGTTTTATAAAACCTTTTCGCTTTAGGCCTCCACTGCTATGTGCAAAAAAAAAAAAAAAAAAAAGGTTCAGTCAATTTCAACTTCTCGCGGAAAAAAAAAGATCTTGCAAAGTTGGAATTGATTGATTGAACTTTTTAATCCCACCCAGTCTGCCGTTACTATCGCAGCCACTTCCACCCAATGGGCCATGCCCAGCCAATTGGCCACACCCACCCAGCATTCAACAATGCATAAGTGGGTTTTGAGTTGCAGTTTGGGCACTCAGTCTCTAAAAGGTTCGCCATCACTGGTCTATAGCTTGCTGCTACCTTTTCATTGTGCTGAAATCAGTCAGACTTCTTAAGAGTCTGGCAGACCTAAGAAAGTGGGTTTTAAAAAGGGGGATAAAAGGGATGCAAATAATGCTGACCAGGCTAGATGGAAACCTGCAAACGAAAGGCCCTCGCCACAGTTCCATGCCCCCTTGCCTGAGTAAGGGTGTTTGAATTGAACACAGGGTTACCTGTCACAAGTAGACATGCTCAGGCTCAAGGCTATATGGCACTAGCTAGAGGAAAGGGTGTGTGTTTGTGTATGTGTGCGAATGAAGATAATCACACTGGGAAAAGGAGGCATGTGGTGGAAATCATTGTCTGAAGACAAATTGCCAGCCTGAGGAAAAAAGAGGGCGTGTGTTGGAGAGAGACTTTCTCAGCTGGGAAAATGGCATTTCAGCTGCAGAGGTTTCCTTCCCTGAAATGTGTTAGAGCACTGACTCTGCACAAGTTGGCTGACAAACTTCTTTTTGGCAATGGGAGAGCTTTCAGGAGAGTCCAGAAGCCGTTACTCACCTGATGCGGTGTGGGGAGGCTGATAAAAATTAGTGCAAGCAAAGCAAGGATTACTTCTGAGTTGCTGCCCTCTCTCAAGAGCAACCAAGAACAACCCTCTTAAGTGTTTCTACTGCTGTGCAGTTGGCGCAGTAGTGATCCTATGAGGGAGCCCAACTAGGCCATCTGCTTTTTAGCTGCAGGCATAAAATACTTTTATTAGGAAGTGAGGCAGACCCAGCTAGAATGGAGCTTCTAAGGAAACCAAAAGCTGTGCCAGATGATAATTTGGGAATAAGGATTCTATGGAATGAAAACACCCAATTACTTTAAAGCAGAAAGGCCCAGGTCATTTGTACCAATTAGTTTTTCTTTTTGTCTGTGGACTTTAATAGTTCAAGAGCAATTCCTGTTCATGTTCTCAGTTTCTTAAGAGCTGAAATGTACACAAGATACAGTAATCCTTGCAACCATCCCATTGATTGGTTATATTTCTAATCAGCCCATTAATAAGATTCTATGGCTGGACTTCAGAGCTATTAAAAATAAAAACAATAAAAAGTTGTCATCTCCTTGAACACAGAGCTGAGCCTGAAAAACAAACTTTGCTCCTAATGAACATGGAAATCTTTAACTCAACAATATCATTCCAAACTGCTGTGTGTAAGGACTCAGGTGACAGAGTTTTGTGTTAAACATAGCAATGTTTAAAAGATTCCCACTCATGCAGGCCAGGGTTTCTAGTGTAACCTTCATTCTAACCTACTTGGGCTTTTTACTTGCCAATATTTATTTTAAAGAGGAATATGAAACCCTGAAGTCCCCTATCTGTAGTATGAAGTGGGACAGCCTAAATTGCCTTAAGGAGAACTAGGCCAAAATTTAGATTTTCTTTCTTTCTTTTTTTTTTGCTAGAAAAGCTGTATATTTCTCTCAATGTCTACTGAGTAATCTTGTTTAGTCTCAGGCATTACATTAAGCCATGGCTTATTTAAATGGCTTGGTAAATTTATTTAATTAAATTTTGATGATGCCCAATTCTGTAATGACTCTAGATGGCTTACATATTGAAAAATATATTGAAAAACACACATAGCTGATTGGGTGCATATCTTAAGTCATGATGGTCAGGCTCACACATCCCACCAAACCATCAACTATTGTTTATAAACCACAGCAGCTAGATTTTATAGAACAAACAAAACCAAAATCAAGGAAGCCACATTCTGTCTTAGGAGAATTGATAACTAACAGTCAAAAGTTTTTATATGTGTGTTGTATAGTGTTGCAGAGACCCTCTTGGCACACACTACACCTTGTGAATACTTTTGCCACTGTGGGTCCAGAGCTATCGCTTGCCTGTCCTGCTCAAAGTATTTAAGACAATGCTAAAAGAAGAGAGGGGCAGTAGGTTCATGCCAGTGGTGGGATTCAAATATGTGAACAGCCGGTTCTCTGTGTGGATTCCACTTCCGGAAGCCCATTCTAGGCCTGGGCAACAAAAAATTAGCTGCCAGTTCTACTGAACTGGTGTGAACTGGCTGAATCCCACCACTGGTTCATGCCCAGAGTTCCTTCAAGGAAAAGCAAAAATATAATACCCAAATATAACTTTCTTGAAGGACACAACCTGGGACAATAACTTCCATCTCTTCAAGAGGGGGCCTTAAGGCTTTTTAAATGAATGTCATCCCACTGGGGCTTTCTGGTCTCTAGGGATATATCTCAATGAGATTATTAAGGAATTAGGAATTAAGTGTTTTTCTGTGTGAGCTGAGTTTGCTTACCACGTTAAGCCATAGTGTGGTTTGGCTTAGTTTGCATGTGACCTTCACCGGTGTACTTTGCAAACCATGATTAATTGCCCCCTTTACCAATCCTGGCTAAACATTTAGTATGACTCCTGCCTTGGCTTCCCACCCCAAAGCTGTATAGAAGTTTTCTTGGGCCTTCCCTGGCTGTGAAGCCCTTACTCTTCCAGCTATCCAGCCTCATGTATCCATCCTGAGAGCTGTGAATGTTTTACCAAAAGAAGACTCCCAAAGTCTGTGTGCTGACTGCTGCTATCTTGGGTGCTACAAGCAAAGCTGGTCTGTGTACTGAATCAGATTCAGCCGTAGAGGTTATTTAGATGCATCTCAATTTCTCTTTATTTTGGCAAACATCTGCTGCAAGAAATATTGTGGGGTTTCTGTCCCTAGAGCAGGTAAGAATTACAGAGCATTCCATCCAAATCCTGGGTTTTGTTTCCCACAGAGACTAGCCAGAAGCTTCTGAATCAGGAGAGGTGAGACTCCTGTGAGAACCTGATTAGCTTTTGATAAGAGCTCACCCAAACCCACAAACTTTTTTTTTTTTGTCATAAACGAGCCCTAAAAGCACTAGAAAGAAAAA